TTCATTCGAAATGCACATATTTGATCATTACTAAATTTAGATACTCCAATTTTTTAATATATAGCTGCAAAGTGTTTAATCGCGTCTTAACTTGTATTTTCAGAACAAGTATCATGAACTTTTATTCTATATGTGAATATGTGATTTCAGCACCATGAACATCTATTTATTTCAAAATAAAATTCACAATGGTGAGAGTCAGAAGTTTGGAAAATTTAGTGTTTGCTTGGTGATCGAGATGTTTTTTACTTATAAATTAGCGTTTACCATTATTTTTCAAGTACAAAAATAATTACTCCTATTTGAGGAGTCAAAATATTATTGTTTTTTTAATTTCCTCATTATTTTACTCCTATTTTCAAGTTAATTTGTTTTACCTTTAACTTTTTATCGTTTAATTATCTAAAGAGTAGAGTTGATTGCAATTTATTTGATGTTATAATATTTATTTGAATTTTTATCCTGTTGCTCCTATGATTTCGACAACTCGTTTTGACTATTCCTTAAATATTCATTTGTTAAGACTCGAGGTTCCATTCTAAAATGTCAACTTGATAGGAGAAGTAATCCAAATCATAATATAGCACTCGATTCTTTCACAAATTTCTGGTGTGAGAATTCAACATTATTAATTCATTGTTACTTTAATTAGTTTTGAAAGGAATGCATGAAAATGATTGCATTTCAATATATAATGTTTTTCCATATGCTACGAAATCGTCACATTTCAAAAAGAGCAACGTCGGTATGCAGTAGAAGATACTACGTATATACTTTTTGAGATAAATTACACATTCGATCATAATACCCGCGTGTATAAGACATACAGATTAATATATTTTATGATAATGTGCATTTTAGAATGTATATAAAGTTGTAATATTTCCACAACTTGAGTTTTAAATTAAGAAAATATATCGAATTTAGTTACATTATTTGTCCTGAAAATTAAAATACTTAAAATGAACTTTTCATATTTATAATTTTATATATTCCATAAATTACAAAACGTATATTTTACTCAACTATTGGACATAAAGAATGCATACATGTGTTCTTTAATACAGAGTATATGCCTAGAAGGCCGGGTTTCTTAAAATTTTACTCCTTCCGTCCCCAAAAATACTTCCCGGTTTGAATTGGCACACTTATTAAGAAAATGGAATAAAATGGAAATGTATAGTTGTAGTTGTGTAAGAAAAAGGTAAAATGAATGTGAGCCACACAAATTGTCCAAAACGGGAAAGTGGAAAGTATTTTTTGTAACAACCCAAAAAGGAAAGCGGAAAGTATTTTTTGGGAAGGAGGGAGTATAATTTTTTGTTTGTTTATTTTGAGAAAATGTTGTGGATCACATTTGCCATGTATGATAGTATTATTTATATATGATACTTCTCCCAAAAAAACGTATTCTTATTTTATTGATTAAATCTGACCGTTTGTTTTACATATATAGCCAACGACTGCCTTAGCAATTTAAAAATAAGCCTCTCCGACCTTTTTGGTTTTGAAGTAATTTTTTAAAAGAAAAACTGACATTATATTAGATCAAAACTCATAGCGTGAAACTGAGAGAAAGTACAACCAGGAGAATTGAAAACAGTAAAGTAATCATCCGACACTAATAACTCCATCTAACCAAACATAACCATAAGTCCACCGGTCCTCTCACTTCTTTATCAGATATAGAGTAATTCATCCTAAAAAAAGCGAGACTAATCACTGAAAATGTGAGAGCTTTGAGGCTACTAGCGGCTGAGTCAACCAGGGGCGTAGCCAGGACCGATGTTTTCCCTGGGCCAACTATACACTAAAAACATTATATAAAAATTTTAAAAGCGATAATAGTGTGAACATAATGATTAAAATCTATTAAAATTCATAGTAATATTTTTAAACAATACATACAATGTTTGAAACTAAAATGTTAACTGAACACGGTGCTCTTTGACCTTAGCAAACTCATCATGACAGACTCAACGTAGATTTTGTTGGCAAATTCCTTTTCAATAATTTCCCGGATCCCGCTCAATTTTCAAGTGCATCAGAAATTACTTCCTCTTGAGCGGATGAGATATTAGGAGTTTCAATTGAGTAGCCACACCTATTAAAGTTACCAAAAAAATAAAAAACTAATTAATACTTTATTTTAATTCATATAATTCATATTGATATTTTAAAAATTCACAAATAACATTTGACATTCCTAATTTTCTATTTCACAATTCAAAGCACACAATTACACAAATCAATTGTGTCAAACTAATAACTAACACTAACTAATTTAACAAATAAAATACTTAATTAATCTAAAAATTGCAAAAACAAATAAAAAAGAAACTCTTACGGCCTTAGCTCTGCGGCTCCGCTTGATTGCTTGAAGCATGTACCTTGAATTGGAACTGGACTGTTTTTTTATTTGGGCCATAATATTTCTACCCTAGGCCAGTTTTATTTTTACACTGGACCGATTCAATAAAACAAGGATAAAACAAATTTAAACTATATACCTGGGCCATGGCCCAGCCAGGCCACCCGGCCCCTCCCTCCGCCCCTGGAGTCAACCTGATTGTCTCTCAACAGAAATCTAGCAACTAAGGTAAGCCAAACTAAGTACCTACTACCCTTATTATTTGACCTAATAAAAACAAAAAAAAATAGTAAACAGAACATAGTAAAAATAAATAAACTCCAACTGGTGAAACAATGAAATCCATTCTTCAAATGTCGTCTTCCAAACCCTAGTCACGCAGATTCGGGTGCAATACTGACAATTTGGGGTCCAGTGGAAAGGCGAATTCGTGTAGTTACATATTAATTCATTTGGGTCAAAAAGCATTTTATGCTTGTTACTTTTTTAGTCTGGCCTTACCTTGCAATTAATTTCTAACTCACTTTTAACTCTTACTACGTACTTTGTGTTTACTTCAGTTGTTTTTCGCTTTCACCAAGAACTTGCTTCTTTGGAGCCAAGATTGTACCAAAGTAAACCAATTTATAATGCATTTAAAGCCATCAAAGAGTCTCCTGATTGGCATGCTCTGAGTGATGCTCGCAAGCGAGTCGTAGATGGTACATGCGTCAAATTAAAGCTCATGCATTCGTTATAGTAGCTAACGGAAATTGATTTGATTTTGCACTCCATTTCTGATACGATAGTTGACTTTACACTCAAATTTTAAAATCATTAATGTGTACATCATATTTTAATATAAAATTATTTGACTTTGTAACCTTTCCTCTCCATAATTATTGGGATGATGAGTTGAGGTGCACGCAATAATGATTTTGAAAATGTAGTGTAAAGTTCGCCCAAAACATGGTGCAAAGTCAAATTCTCCTTATTTTAAGGAATGTGTTTCTTATCTTAGATTTATATACTTTTATTAATCATTTCTTACTCCCAAAAAGGGGGTTGAGAGAAAGAAAAAGAAAAGAATTTAAATAAAACACTTGGATCACCACGTCACCGGAGCAACCGGTAAACCGAAGACTAGTCTGCTAAATTATAAAATTGACTGTCTTTTTAATGTTCATGGGCTTAATTGTGTGTTTTTAAGTTCGATGACTTAATTGACTTTTTTAATATACTACGAGGGTTTAATTGACAGTTTAACTCAATTACTTATTAGAAAAGTATTTTGTACTATCCCGCCACATTTTCGTTTCTACTCATATAGGTCAAATAAAGAGAGCTATGTTGAGTGGAGTTGCCCTGGAAGACAAGGAAAAAGAGAGATTCAACAAAATTACGCAGGTACCTATTTATGACGTAGTAGTATTTATGTGAATAATATTGAGTTCTGTGAGGATTATGAGGTGTATATTTGGACGTCTTAGAACGAAGTGGTTAGGAAGAAACATTGCAAGGCTGAAAAGGAAAGAAAATTTACTTATAGTTAACGGATAAAGTGAATCTCAAAGAACAAAGAAACGTTATTTTGGCCTTTTTAACAACTATGAATGTTGTTTTAACAACTATCAATGTTATTTCGCAATTTGCACCAGTAGGCAAGAAACCGCTGAAAAAGAAACGGGGTCTATAAGGAATAATATGTAGTAATATAATCAATATATATATATATAAGAGGAACTTTTTAAGAGCATACAAAGCGTCACATAATCCTGCCAGGCCATGTCATTATATATAATAATTATTTACTTATTTTTATACCTTTTGTTTTTATTAGATTCTATTTTTGATTGCATATTGATATGGAAACAAAAATCCTTATAAATCCACCTTAATTAATTTGGTAAGTTTCAAATAAGTAAAATAATTTTTGGTTATCAAAGTGAAATTCTAAGAACATTTATTGATATGGAAACTAATTTATATTAGTTTACTACACGAAATTAAATAGAAATCAATATGCAAATTAGTTTACTTATTAATTTGACACCTATTAATAAATTAGTAAGGTTCAAATAAGTCATTTTCATTTTCATTTACCCCAGTGCCGCAAAGGGTCCCACCTATGGTGGGGTAAGGGGGGGTCGGATGTACGCAGTGTTATCTCTGTACTAAAGCACAGAGAGACTGTTTTCGGATGACCCATAGTGAAAATCACATCCAAAATTGCATGGACTGATTGTTGCTTCATAACAAAGAAGCGCAGACAGGTTAGTGAGCCATTTTGCTTTATTCCATCATAATCTCAAGCCAAAAATTAATGAATCTTTTTAAGTAAATAATTAAAAATGAAATTAAAAATTATAACCAACATAAAGTATATATATTTTCACAAGTAAATATGTTTAGCTTAGCCAAATAAGTAAATTTTTTGGTTGTTTCTTTATTTTACACTTAAAATTCAAATATGCCTTCACTTTTGAAATAGATTCCTAATCCAAATTAGAAAATCTTTATAGGTTTATGAATTCCTACTTTAATAGAATGTTTTTAATTGGATTGATTTCAGTTCCAGATTAAATCATATCAGATCAAACTTTAATAATTATAACAATAAGTCACATAAAAACAGACATCTAATAGACCATATTAATTCATACCAAATCAAACCCGAAATTTTAATTCAATTAAAAACGTTATTATTAATGAGTAAACTGTAAGATCTAACAATTAAGAAATATAGATTTTTTTTATTATTGGGTTCATAACAATTATGTTTACTTGAGATGCTTATGTAGAAGACCAATTTAACTTTTTTTCATATATTTTTTTCTTTATTTCACAAATGGAATATATTTCACATATATTTTTCATGATTCAGAAGATTCCACCTATTTAACCAGAATTCAATCAATTTCAGCAAAATAAGTTAATTCTATTTACTTTAGTATTATCAAACACTCTATATTAGACTAAGTTTACTTTTCTTTTAAATCACATTATATGCGATCCGATAGAAATTAAATTTCAAATTAACTAAATTACATACTCTCGTGCATCACACGGGCTTGAAAGCTAGTAATAAAATAAATGAAATATAGCATGACATTGAAACCGTGCGCGCATTGCTTCTATAATTGTATAGTAATGATGTACTTTAGTTATGAATATTTTTTACTCTTCCTTCCCAAAATGAAATTTCTCTTTCGATTTGCAAAACTTGTACTTCGTATAATGATAAACCAACTCGTTGATGATAATATTTACATTAAATTAGTACTGAAACTTGAAATCTACGTAGTTACAAACTGCAATGAATTATATTCTATGAAAAAACTAAGCTAGAATATGACAAAATTATGATATACAAAAGGTAAAAATAAAGCTTTGTCGAATGTGCCGCATGAATATTAAATGAAAGGGAAAATTCTCAAAATAGAAGTAAAAACATTATATAATTAAAAAATAGGGCTGCAATATTTTCACCCCCAAATAGGAATAATTATTGTCAATTGAGTTTGAAAAATACTATCATGCTTAAAATCTGAAATGTAAAGCTAAGACATGTAATAATTTTGATTACTGTTTGGAGAATAAATGTATGACAATCCTGTACATTTTGAAATTAACCAACGTTTTTTACTTCTATTTGGGACAATTTCTTTAAAGGAGAACATCATTTTGGAACATATCACATATGAAGTAGGAGTATTACATTATTTCAATCTAGAGTTAATATACTTAGGTGTTGTAGGGTTTGGTCACCGTCCCATATTTAGATTGGACCCGTTAGACTTTATTGTTTGACAATTAACTAGAATTTTTGTATATATAAATATGCACACAAACTTTTACCTTGCAGGACTTCAACTATATATATATAATATATCTACTTTGGTTTTGAAGGACTTGTCAGATTTATCTCGAAAATTTGGAGACAATGTCTTAAAGGCCACTACGATATTTGAAAAGTTAATCACCGATAAGAAAGAAATTGAGGGGTTACCTTATCTAACTCTTAGTTTGGCAGCAGAGAAAGCAATTTCCAAGGTAATAAAATGCCGCCTATGAGTGCTTTTTATATACTACGTATATATAACACATGATATTCGATATAAATTCATTTCATAATTTATAGGGACATGAAAATGCTACTGCTAAATATGGGCCATGGATTATTACATTAGATGAACCATGTTTTTTGTCAGTGATTAAACATGCAAAAAACCGCAAGTTACGCAAAGAAATTTACTGTGCCTATAGAACTCGTGCTTCAAGCGGAGAGCTTGATAACACGCCAATTATTGACCAAATTCTAAAGCTTAGGTTGGAGAAGGCTAAGCTTCTTGGATTTAATAACTATGCGGAGGTATATATATATATATAAATATATATGATTATCTCTTTTCATTTTTCTATCTCGGTGATGAGAACTTTGAGAAGCTCTGATCTACTTTATGTACGTACTTATATCAGTACAATATAAGTTACTATGTACTACGTATATAACTATATATGTTGGTATATATATATACATATATAATAGGTTAGCATGGCTAGCAAAATGGCAACTCTTGATCAAGCACAAGAACTCCTTGAAAAACTTCGCAATGCATGTTGGGATATTGCCAATACAGGTAGTTCCTTCTGGGTGATATATGAAAAACTAAGTATGTTCTAATTTATTAGTCCGTATATGAAAAAAGAAAAAAATAAGTGGATCAGATCAATTTTGAAGTGAAAAAATGTGTCGCAAAATTGTAAATAATACTCCCTCCGTCCCTTAAAACTTTGCCATCTTTCCTTTTTGGGACGTCCCAAAAAACTTTTCCACTTTCCCTTTTAATCAATTATTTTGTGATTTCTGTTATTTCTCTCTCCTCTGCACAAATATCAACCACACAGTTTTTACTTTATTATTCTCCGTGCCGGTCAACTTTGGCAAAGTTTTTAGGGACGAAGGTAGTAGGAACTTTTCTGAAAAATAAACTTGTAAATGTGCATGAGTATGGAGAAAGACTGCATCTAACTAACACAACAGTATATCACGCTTTGAAATAAAATAAGAAGTATAAAAATCAATTTGTAACTTTTATAATGACGAAAATGTGCACCTTTACCGATCGTATATGCACATTTACTATTAAGCATTCCACATTTTAGTTTAATACTTCTCAGCGTTATGCCGTTATTTTTGATCCATTCCATCCATTTTCAAGTGATCAAAGACTTTGGGCAGTTATGCTGCAACGTTCCAGTTTCAGCATGCATGTGTGTGTGGGTGTGGGTGTGTGTATGAATTACGATCAAATGAGAAGAGTGTATTGTAAGAAATTAGAATGCATCTGATGTATTGAATATGAGATCAGATGGTTGTAAAAGTGTCAAATATACTAAAAAGTGATGAATGACATAGTGGCAATTTCGTAATTGAGTGCAACTTTTCTTCCATCAGAAGTGCATCATATAAGTGTAAAAGTGCATCAAAATTAGTAAACGTGAATGCTTCTCATTGCTCACGTTAAGTATATAAGAAATTGTTTCAAATAGGACTAAAACATAGACAAAGTGCACAAAAACGAATATTTATGCTTTATTTCCAAAATATGACTTACTTTGAACCTATTTAAAAAAAGTATAAATTTTATCAATTAGTACTGAATGAGTCATACTTTATTAATGTATATTAATGTTGTCTTCAATGATTCTGTCGTGAACATTGCATTCAATTTTGCATTATAGTTCTATTTTGTATTCTAATACAAATTGCTTGTTGTCTTATTTATTAACACTCGTATGTGTACGTAACTTGATTGAATTGGGGATTCTATCATTGATCCAAAAAGGTGGAATCTCCCACCCCAGGAGTCTCCCACCCCGGTCCGACAGGATGGTGGGGAGGTTAGTCACGGTAACTCAGTCAGCAGAATGGCAGTAGGCCCATACACCCGTGTGCACCAGAGGCCCAACCTTATAATTGGGGATTCTATAGATCATCTTATGTAGAGAAGTCATGAGTTTTCATCTATTTATTTAATTATTTATTTTTGCCTCGTCCTTAATAAACCAGATGTGCAAGACCTTAAAGACTTTTGCAAACGTCAAGGTGCTCTAGAAGCTGATGATTTCAACAGTTGGGACTTCATGTTTTGGAGTGAGAGGCTTCGTGAATCCAAGTATGAAATATATGAGGTGTGATATTCTAAATCCATATTATATTGTTATAAATTACACCTATAATTATAAATGCATCAACATACTTATAAGTGCATCGAACAGAAGCATGCAGAAAAGTGAAGAATTCACAATTTCATGTTAAAGACTTCTTTTATTAGAATCACTATATAGAGATATGGGCGTGAGTATACTTAAGTAATCTTTGACAAAATTTCATTTACAGGATAATTTGCGTGCATACTTTCCATTACCCAGGGTCTTGGATGGTCTTTTTGAGCTTGTGAATAAGCTTTTTGGTATACATGTTGAAGCTGCTGATGGTTCAATGCCGGTAAGCTTTCAATTGGAAGCAACGATTAATATATTTACTACTCCCTCTGTTCCATTTTACCCATTTTACTTTTCTTTTTGGACATTTTTGAAAGAAATATGTGGTCCACAATATTTTACTTTATTATACTCAAATTTCAACCACAACTTTTAATTTACAATCACTTTATTAATAATTGTGCCAAATCAAAATGAGACACATAAAATGGGACAAAGGCAGTAATAAACATGCCATTTTTCCGGGAAGTAGCTCAGTTGGTAGATCGGGGTTCTACAAGGGTAAGTCTCATATATGCCCAATTCTTGATAACTGCGATTAGATGTTACTATGCAAAATGTATAAGGCATCTACAAGTACTTGGGCAAGAGCTCTACTCGTGAAAGTCCAATATACATCATCTCAATTGTCTGACCAATAGAGAGAGATGAGTGTCATCCTATTTTACTACTAAAAATGACATTTATATCATTGCTTAGGTTTGGCACAAGGATGTGCGCGTATTCAGTGTGAAGGAGGGTTCCTCATCATCATCATCAGACAGTCCCATCGCACATTTTTTCTTAGACCCATACTCACGTCCATCTGATAAGCCTGGAGGTGCATGGATGCATCCAGTTGTTGGTCGAAGCCGTGCGTTGTCTTGCGGTTCCGTAAGGTTGCCTGTTGCATCTATTACTTGCAATCTAATACCGCCTGTTGGGGATATACCCAGCCTCATGACATTACGAGATGTACGTACGCATGTATTCTTAGAGGCCATTTGGTAACATTGAAATATGTGATTCTGCTAACATTTATTAAGTTCAGGTTGAATTGGCGTAATTGGCTGATTATGAGAAAATAATACTTAAAATACATTTTATTAATAAAATAAAGAAAAATTATATGAAAATAGCTAAAATAGTGTTCTACAATAACTTCAGTCGGTTAAGCCAGAAACATAACTTAAACCTTACTATTTTGATTATTACATAATTCAGCGCGCGAAATAAAAACTTACATGTTTTGATAACACCGATAAGCAGAATAACAGGATCACCAACCACGCACTTACTTAGTTTGTTTTTTCGGCTCAATCACACATTCAATGTAGAGAGTATAGTGCTTTTAATTTGTTGAATAGTGCCTCTAACAATTGTAGGTTAATTTTTTGTACGTTCTCTTGTAGGTTGAAACACTCTTCCATGAGTTTGGCCATGCTCTTCAGCATATGTTGACTACGCAGGATGAAGGCCTGGTGGCTGGTTCAGATGGAATCGAATGGGATGCCACAGAATTACCATCTCAATTTATGGAAAATTGGTGCTATCACAGGTTTTTATTTGTGTTTAATTTCTGTCTAACAACTTCATTCCATCATAAATTGTTACGTACGTATTCTTTTATGGGTGTTAGCTATTACTTTATACCAGACTTCTAACAACTTAATGCGTGTTTGTTTCTTTTTTTCCCATTTGGGGGTTGATGGGTTTAAAAGAGTGCTTCAAATTATAGTTTAACATAAATGAGGTGAATAAATTGAATTATTATTGTTTACCTTATAATTGGTCTTATTATTAGAAGGGAAAACTGTCAAATACGTCCTCGAACTTTCATAAAAAAGTTAATTAAGTCCTTCTATAGGAGACTATGTCCGATCGTCGCGATTTGGGGCGGTTGCCGGTGGAATTTTTTGATGAAATTTTTTGAGCATGTTATTCATCAAGTCTAGTTTACTCATACCAAATTTTTTGAGCCTGCAAAAACTTCCATGACACAGTTTTTTGAGTGCCACGAAATCTTGTTTTCAAATTAGCCAATATGTGGTAAACACAATAACCATGCTCTGTATGAGGAAATACAGAACGTACAGAAGTAATAATGCCCTCGTGCCGATCAGAAACAATATATAGATCATCCATGTGCATTAGCGAATGCTTCAACATGCTGAAGAACCATGACCAATTTTCACTATTTTCTCCGCTACAAATACTGAATGCCAATGGAAATATTTGTTTGTTTGCATCTTGTGTACATGCAGTGAGTAATGTACCCTTATAATACGACTTCACACTAGTAAAAATTTGTTAAACTGCGTCACGTCAATTGAGGCGCTTAAAAAACACGTGCCTTTAAAATATACGACGTGCGGCGCTTTTCTATCTAAGCACCTCTAATATGTATTTAAATTTTTAATTATTTAATGTTTCGGGTCTTTGCGGCGCTTATATATAAAAGCGCCGCCAATATTTAAATTAAATTTTGATATTTAGAAGCGCAGGAGCGAAAAAGTGTAAATGAAGCGCCAAAACGAAAAATTTGAATAAAATTTTAAAATTTATCAAGGCTTCTGCGGCGCCTAATTAATGAAAAGCGCCGTATTAGAAAAATATTTTTTTTTAGTTTTTTAGGAGGCGCCTATATGTCAAAAGCGCCGCAGACCGACGCCAAATTTTTATTCAAAAATAAACTAATTTTTTTAAAAATCGGATTTTAAAACGAGGCGTGCGGCGCCTATATGCAAAAAGCGCCGCATACATGTTCCGGTTTCTTAGGAGGCGCTTATATTTAAAAAGCGCCGCAGACCGACGCCAAATTTTTATTCAAAAATAAACTAATTTTTTTAAAAATCAGATTTTAAAAAGAGGCGTGCGGCGCCTATATGCAAAAAGCGCCGCATACATGTTCCGGTTTCTTAGGAGGCGCTTATATTTAAAAAGCGCCGCAGACCGACGCCAAATTTTTATTCAAAAATAAACTAATTTTTTTAAAAATCGGATTTTAAAAAGAGGCGTGCGTCGCCTATATGATAAAAGCGCCGCATAAACTGTTCCAGTTTATTTCGCCATGGCCGGTCGCTCGCAGTAGTAATCGATTCAGCAGAGATAAACCCTAAGCCGGCCGCGCCGTCGCACCTAGTCCGTGGCCCAGCCGTCGCACCTAGTCCGTGGCCCAGCCGTCGCACCTCCGCCGCTCCTCCGCTCAACCGACAACGCTCCTCCGCTCACCTTTGTTGCCGTCGAGGGTCGTCCGCCTCTCACTCCAGCCGCGCGCAGCCGTCGATTGTCGTCCGCGTCAAGTGTGCGACTAGCTCCGGTCGTCCGCCGCTCACTCCAGCCGCGCGCAGCCGTCGAGGGTCATCCGTGTCAAGTGTGCTTCGAGCTCCGGTCCTCCGGTCCGCTTGCCGCCGTCGACCCCCGGTCCGCTTACTCCAGCCATCGGTCTCCCATTTCACAGCAGGTATGTATATTTTTTTAATAATAAATTTTTTCAATATTTTTTATTTTAATTAATTTTGAGTAATATAATTTTGGAATAGTTGTAATGAGCAGCAAAACACTTCCAAGAGGTTGTTTTATATTAGCATAATCCTCAATTGCAATCTTACATAAAAAGTGTGCTTAAAAAGAAAAAAAGTATGCAATAATTTATTATTGTTATTTTATTTTTAGATAAAGTTTAGTGTTGTTAATCATGGATCGTAGCTGGATGTATGGTTTGCGAAATACTTCTCAATTTTTCAATGGTGTTCATGAGTTTGTGAAAGTGGCTGTTGCGCATCAGAAGCAACAAGGACAAAAAGGAATTTTATGTCCTTGTTCAATGTGCCGTAACATTAAAAGAGAGAATGACGTGAACATAGTTCTTCAGCATTTAGTTGAGAAGGGTTTTAGAGAAAACTATATGACATGGACATTCCATGGTGAGAATCGTGTGGATGTCGAAGACCTTTTTTCTGGAGCAACTTCTAGTCATCTAAAGCGTAAAGCTACTCATATTACTACTACTTCAAATGATATTGATGATGGTGTTGCGGATGATGATGTCAATGAAGATAGAATTGATGAACTCTTGAATGATGTTCATGATAATTTTGATTATCAACCAAAATCTTATGAGAATTTGATTGAGGCCGCCAATATACCGCTATTCACGGGTTCTGAATTCTCCAAATTATCTGTTGTTCTCAAATTATTTCACTTGAAAGCTAAACATGGGTGGAGTAATGTTAGTTTTACTGAGTTGCTGATATTGCTTCAAGAAATGCTTCCAGAAGGAAATACACTTCCCGATACGAGCTATAAGGCTAGAAAGTTGTTGTGTCCGATGGGAACAGAATGGGAGAAAATTCATGCATGCCCAGCCGATTGCATACTGTACCGCAATGAATATGAAAACCTAAATGAATGTCCAAAGTGTCACGCTTCACGTTATAAGAAGAAGAAGGGTATTAATGTTGGGTTTGATGCTGAATACACCAAAACACCTGCCAAAGTGTTGTGGTATCTTCCTATCATTCCTAGATTTAAAAGATTATTCATGAATGAGAAAGATGCAAAAAACTTAGTGTGGCATGCTCAAGGCAGAAAAAAAAGATGAGTACTTGCGACATGTATCTGATGCACCACAGTGGAGGCAAATTGATTTGAAATATCCTGATTTTGGCAAAGAAGACAGGAATTTGAGACTTGGATTATGCACTGATGGTATGAATCCATATGGCACATTGAGTAGTCAACATAGTACTTGGCCAGTTTTTTTGGTTATTTATAATTTGCCTTCATGGTTGTGCATGAAGAGGAAGTACATAATGTTGTCTCTGCTTATCTCGGGACCACAACAACCCGGTAATGATATTGATGTGTACCTCGCACCATTAGTTGATGATCTTAAACTTATGTGGAATGAGGGTGTTACAGCATATGAGATGCACACAAAAACAAATTTTAATTTGCGTGCTTTGTTGTATTGCACTATTAATGACTTTCCAGGTTATGGAAATCTTTCTGGATATACAGTTAAAGGTGGAAAGGCATGTCCCATTTGTGAAGATGACACTCTTGATTTGCGATTACCCAATTGCAAAAAGAATGTATACATGAGTCATCGAAGATTTCTTCCACGAAACCATCGTTATCGTGCACTCAAAAAGGCATTTAATGGAAAAGCTGAACACGGTGTTCCTCGACGTGTATTAAGTGGATAAAAAATATATGATAAGGTCAAAGATTTGAACACGGTTTTTGGTAAGCCATGTAAGCGGAACAAACAAAGTTTGTGGAAGAAGAAGTCTATTTTTTTGGGAACTTCCGTATTGGAAGGACTTATCTGTGAGGCATTGTCTTGATCTTATGCACATTGAAAAAAATGTGTGTGACAGCATCATTTCGACCATTATGAATGTTCCCGGAAAGACAAAGGATGAAATTAATATCCGAAAAGACATGATTGAACATTTAAATATTCGAAAAGAATTGGCACCACAACCGCGGGAAAATGGTTTTTATCTTCCACCAGGTTGCTACACAGTCTCAAAGGTTGAGAAACGAATTTTTTGTGAAAGCTTATATGGCATCAAAGTGCCTTCTAGGTATTCTTCAAATTTTAAGAATCTCGTATCATTGAAGGATATGAAATTGGTTGGTTTGAAGTCTCATGATTATCATGTTCTGATACCCTTATAATACGACTTCAAAAAAGACCCATCCACAATTATAACCGGAATGCAATGAATCCAACCTTCCCTCCATGCAGAAAGGCACA